TGATTGGTGCTAAAAAATCAGTGTTTTACCTCGTGATTTACAGAAGAGAGCTGACCAGGAGTCAGGAACCTCGCACCAGGAACCAGCAACCGGAACAAGACACTATCACTGCCCTAGAACACTATAAAGGCCTTTATAAAGCACTACACAAACACTAAAAAACGATAAAAAGCACTAAAAAACAATAAAGAACACTAATAAACGATAAAAACACTAAAAAACGATTAAAACTCGTAAAAAACGGTCACTACGTGTCGACACCAGGCAAATTATTTGACCACAATCGAATGTTTGCCTTTTTAAAAGTACTGTTCATCACTAATAGAACTGGTATGGATTTTTATAATAATGTTCTTTTGATCAACAAAATCATCACCAATGGAGGCATAAATACAAAGCGATTTGATTTTTCTTTAGCATCTCCAGTTTTATGGTTGGTCCTATAAAACATTGTATCTTTTAACTGATTAAATTAATGAAGATGGATAAATAGCGATTTAATGACAACTAAGAGGTCTTTTCCAATACAAATTTCCATTTCAATCCAACCTTCTGATTTGTATTTCCAAACATCTAGTAAAAATAGAACCTCAGTTATGAAATCCATAGTCTTCCTGGTGAAACACATTTGCAAAATTTGGCACAACACTGTTAACGCAAATAAAACACTTTTTACTCCACAAAACGATCAAAAAGTCCAATTATATTTATTCAATATCACTACTTTATTGTCCTTGTACTTTTCTAATGGTTTTTATTCACTTGTTCTGCATCATAACATCTATATCCTATGATTGTGTGTTTTTAACTATGTATGAAGGTGACCCTTTGTTCTAGTAAAACGTACTTTGAGGACCTATGTTCTCAGAATTGGATTTCTGCTGAAAATAAATAAATAAGTTATAAAAATAATTATCACATATATTATTTGTATATAGGAAAGCAAACATAATACTAAACGCCCTTTGATATGTGCCTAATAAAACCATTCATAAAAACCTATTTTCATTCAAAATACCTGCATTTATAAAAATGTCCATCCATTAGGTTCATAATTTGCAATAATTTTATTGCAAAATTGAATTTAGCATCATATTCTTCTTTTGATTGTATTATTTATTTCCTACATAAGTATTTGTCCATAGTTGTATTTAATGTACTAATTGCGCAGCATTGTGCATGTTGTCGCAATGTCTTCGGATGGTGTTCGGCAAGTACCGGCACTTGCAGATGTTAGGACCAATCAAATTGGCCGAATTAAAACAGGTGGACGATTCCATTATTTATGATAAGGGGAGGACACATGAATTTGCCTAAGAAAATTGCACAAATTTTGACAATTTATCAGATTTTTGTAACACGAAAGAACGTTCAAAGCGGATGGACGAAAACACTATTTGCTCCTCAGGGGAGGCCACGTCGAAATATTTTAAATTTATATGCAGAAATTGCATGAAGTTTAAAATTATTCAGATTCTTGAACATGGAATTTGATAAAATTATTAGCAGGACGAAACCACTGTATGCACATATACAACAAGGAATAAGTTCATAATTTTTGAACATTTAGTTGAAACTTTTAATTTGTTAGTCGTATAAATACATTTAATGCTAATAAATCAAGTTGTGATTTAATGCATATATGACGAACATGATATAAAATGAACTACATATTGTAGCAGTAGAGCGAAATTTCTCTGCTGAAGCCAAAATATTCTATTTTAATACAAAAACTGTCAAGTTGTCACAGGAAACAAGATTCTGCTGGAAAAGCTCGACAGATAAATATAAAAATGTTGCATATATGTATATACACATTGTATATAATAGTACACATCATTCCATTTTCTGTATATATAAAATTATAATTTACAAATATAAAATATTTTCAATATATGATTAATTTAATTGACTCGTTTGCTGCATTATATAGTACAAAATGTTTTATGAAATATCAGAAAATATTAATTATGCTGCTACCATATGACAGCAAAGTACTTCAAACGCGAAATGAATGATTATTTACAACCATGATCTGTTTTAGACAAATGTTGGAACAAGTCTCAATGATTTACCATAACCATAATAGAGCTTTATAGAAATAATTAATTAATAAATTCATAATAAATTTACGTACTGTCATGATATAAAATTATGGCATGTGTATCATGAGGAGAAATGTGATTTTTATTTATTGTATTGATTATAGGTAATCAGATTATCAATACACTTACTTGTAACAACTGCAAAATCGCAATATACATAACCTAATACGCTTGAAAAATTAACAAGTTACAAACGAATTTAAAAAATTCGGAGATTAAATAAGTTAATGTAACTAAAACAAGTCTTAGTAGTATTAAAAGGCAACGCTTTATTTATCTTTTTTCATTAATTTTATTTAATTAATTTCTTATTATCATAATCATTTTGCGTTTCAGATATTTTGAATGTTTTTATACACGTTTTACAATAATTTCAATTTAAAAAAAATACTTTTTATTGAGGTTTGGGCACTTAAGTGATAATTCTAAAATTCGTTCATTAATTTTTCGTAGAATAAGTTATTGTTATCGTCCAAAAATCGAAATTGAAAATTTTTGCATTTCTTCACATTTTGATGATTTTTAAACATTTTGTCATACCTCAGAAAAAATGAATGTGTATGTATTTGTGTGTGTGTGTTTTTGTGTGGATACAATTTTTCGTCCACGTTAAAGCAGTCATCTATAAAGCATTCCATTATCAAGTCAGCCTTACAGAGAATATTTTTCAACTTACTGAACGAAACTTTTTATCTCACAAAAGTACTATCTTTTATTCTACCGCAACAAATTCGTTTGGACGTGTAATTCTTGGTAAATTGTACAGACAGCAATTTGTAACATTACATCGGAATCTTTTCCGCCGGTTTCCATTAAATCCTGAATATTGTTATTGATAGAAATAATCCGTTGTGATGGCAAGCCGAGTTGCCCGCCCGTATCTCATTTTGCTGCCCCGAAAATAACTGCTGGGCATGACCTTACTTCAACCTTTGTGTAACCAAGGAAAACATTCGAACGAACAACTCTTAGATGGATTTATAGAGTTGTTATTGAAAATTTGGAAAATTTAATTCGCTTAGGTACTGTACATGAATAAAATAAACTGAGAATGAACTAGTGGTGTATGGCATCGTGCCTTAAGGCAAATTGCTTGAACTTACCGTACCGCAACGAAATATTCGAGGAATATTAAATGTTTTTGAATAGTTGTAATACTGTAACTTTCATTATTCTTATTTTATAGACAAAATATAAGAGTTTATAAATTGGACGACGACGTTTGTATATGTAATAAAGAAAAGTAAAAAGACAAAACTCATTCAGATATAAAATGAAGGACATAACCTATTATTCATAGGAGTTATATAAAATGAGTTGCAAAGATGAAATAATTTATTTAAATAATAAGTTTTCATATTTTGTTAAAATAATAAATATAAAATAATATATATAATGCTTCTAAAACGTTCCAAGTTTTGTTATAATTCAACATATTTTTTAATGTTATATTTAGATTAATATACAAACCGAACATATCAAATAACAGTTAATCCCAAATAATTACAATATGCTCGAACAATTCCTTTAATTACAAAATCTGCTTCTAAACTTACCTCCACGATTATTACATTATTTAATTAAAGTATGACAAATTAAATCCAAACGACTTGGGCCTAGTAAGCAAAAGCACAAGAAAATTTTTTTTAATTTACAAACACTACGATGCCATTACATACAGCTTCTGTCTGGAAATTAATTGTCTTTGAAGGAAACTTTGTGAAATGTTTCGGGTTTAATCATAGAAATGAATTAAATTAGAGAAGAAGCTAATTATTCCAAATGAAGTTTTGTATGGAACGGCCTACCGGGGGAAATAAAAGGAGAAGATAATACATTTTATCAAGAGATGTACGTTCTCGTTTAATTTTAAAACGTGTAAAAAACTGTGATTATGTATTATTATTTTAAATAGTTTATTCGAGTACAAATATTTTTTTATGTATTTTTCTTTTACTTTCATAGAGAACGTTATGTTTAATTAAGAACAAATATCTCGAGTTATTGGATGAAACGTAATTAATAATTTTATCGATAATTTCTGTATGGTTTATTAATATTTTACAAAAAAATGATTAGAAAAATTTCATGATGGAGTGTTCTCTATATAAATCTAGAATGTGTGGGCTGTTGATTTTAATCATATTATAATAGATTGAAAAATTTTACATTACATAGTAGACATAATAATGACAAAAATTTATAATAAGAGTATTGCTAAATTATAATAATGTTCAATTTAAAAATAATCAATTTAATTTGAAATAATCAATATGGATGTTTTAGATGAATATTATTTAGTTATAGTAAGTAGTTTTATTTATGTGCAAAAATATTATTGAACAAATAGCAAGTTGTTAAAAACTCAAAATACACATTTTCACTTCATGGAACTTTTTTTTTTGCAAACCATTTCTTTTCAAATATGTACTCTGAAAGAACTCATTTGTGTATTTTATACTCAATTAAATTCATGGAACATTTTTTATATTATTTTATTATTTTATTTAGGTTATTTAAATTAAGGTTAAGTTTGGAATCATCTAAAGTGAACATCATTGAATAACTTATTTTGAGTTATAATTGTCAGCAATTTAAATAAAAAGGTTCGTCTGTTAACATAATTGTTAAAAGAAAATATACGACATATGACATTTAATTAATCGGGAGAGTTTGCGATTATCGTCGGCTATTTTTGCTATAGACTTGTGACGTCATATTTTCAATCCATAAGGTCTATGACATTGGAACACACGCTTGTAAAAATGTAAATGCACAAAATTACAAGTTCTCTGGAATAAAATATTTTTAAAATTAGTTAAAAAGCTCACATTATAATAAATGAATTAATAGTTCTAATAATATATAAAAAATCTGTACAATCTTTTTTTTCAGGATCGATCGTGAAGCAGCACACCGCAACGGCTCCTTCTACCAATGCTGCAGCGGTTTTTGCGTCGATTTGCTAGAAAAATTTTCCGAGGAACTCGGTTTTACATATGAACTTTCCCGAGTCGAGGACGGACGCTGGGGAACAAATGAAAATGGAAAATGGAACGGTTTAATAGCCGAGTTGGTCAATAGGAAAACAGATATGGTGAGTTCATAGATGTCGAGAGTAAATATTTATATTCTATTAAAAATTTAATACATGATATCAGGTTAGGTTAAAAGCTTTTAAGTACTCATTTTATTCTGTTTTCTATAAATTTTTGTTATGTATCTTACCTATACCTGTTAGGTATAGATGTATATATATATATATATATATATATATATATATATATATACTTATGGCTGTCTGTTCGCGCCAGAATCATGTTAGATGTCGCCAGTGGATATTGGTAATAATCAGACAACACCTTTTCTCTGGCAATCCGCAAAGATTTGGACGTGATAGCTGATCTGACGAGTGAACAAGTTTCTCTCGCGTTGGCTAGTCACGTACACCGTTTTACTTGTACTTTTCCATATGAGTTTTTGTGATATATTTCGATCATTACTTATTACTTTATGAAATAAATACTTTTAATCAGTGCAAGTGTTCCTTATTTGTGTTTGGAGTTCATTTCTTCCTCAGCATCCGAATTTAAAGCGAACTGAGATATCCGAACTTGAAGCCGCCATCCGACTGGACCGCCGAGCACGTAGAGAACGTCAGATATTTTGCTTAATATATTCAATAAGATCAAATCCTCGGAATAGTTATTGAGTAAAATCCAATTAGCTATTCCGAAAGGGTCTAACTAACCCCCATCCGTAACACTGTCTAATTGATCAATGTGTAATATGGGAGTAAACAAATAGTACTCTGGTATATGGCCAATTTTTATCAATCCTCAATTTTATAGATAAGCTTGTTAAGATTATATTATATTGCAGAATCCTCAAGCAATTAAATTATATAATAAACCTTAATCTACATATATCAGGTTGTCAATTTTGCAGAAGTACGCATCAAATCATTTTTCATATGAATAAATATAAAGTTTCGAGAAATATCAATGGTATATAGATATGAATATATTTTTTTATATTTTCTCTCGTTAGAACAACATGCTAGAACGAATCGATATCAAACATTCAGCATCGCTTTGCTGAATAAGCAATTTATTTTTCCTAAAAGTCTACCGGTCGGCAGGATAGAAAAAACAAATAGTGACGAGGCAGATATGCGACTTCTGAGCAATGAATAACATACTGTAATATACGCATTTATTTTCTCGAATAAATTCAGTTTTCTACATATATATACCCCTGGTGCAGAAAAGATATAAAAAATCATAAAAAAACTACGTGCGGTACTGAAAGTTGAAATCAATGAATTTTTTTTATATTACAGAAGTTAAAATCACTCAAATTATTTATTAAAAATTCTTTTGGAATCATTAGTTTTGTTAAAATTTTGTTAAAGTGAACGCACGTCAATATTAGATATTTTTAGCCTAAAAAAATGCTTCTTCCAATAGGAAATTGATTATTGCATATATTTATCTTAGTTATAAATGCATTTATTCTTGCATAAATGTACAAGGTTTAGTGCTAACATCTGCATTGATACGGATTCTAGTGAAAATCTAAAATATGGGTATGTAATGGTTTATATTTTGGAGCTATCCCTTCCAGAGTTTTAATATTTTTTGTGTTATATTTCAAATTTATAAGTTAGTATTTATTCAGTCGTGATACTAGGCACATATTAAAACCTAGCGCGTAAAATTTACTCATTTTTTTATTTTTTTACAATTCAATTTTATTCTGAAATCTGTATTTATTATTACATTAAACAGAGAATACTGACAAGTATATAGTAAAATAAAGTTGATTACAAATTAGTAGATACCCCCAGTTACTCAAATATTTTTATAAAATGTATTTTAGAACGTCGAACCAAGAACTTATAACTTAGCTGATAATGTCTTAAAAATTCAATAAATAAATAAAATTTTCAAATGTAGATTTTTGTTTACCATTTAACAAATAATCACATAAGATTTTAAAAGTGTGGTAACTGTAAAAGGAGTGAAACGATGGGAGAAAAATTAAGACCTAACTAGCGCTTTAATATCATGAATTCTCACTTACTTTAGTAACACAAAGTGCGTTTTTCAAAATGTTAGAAATAAAGTTGTAATATAGTCGTAAATCGACAATATGTATTTAACTGAATATTACACAGAAATAATTAAAACCATGTAAATTTTCACTTTAAAAAGTAATTTTTCAATGTAAATTTTCGCTGCAATATTTTTAATACAAAAAGGACTGAGGGGTATCAAAACATAAAATACACTAAACAAATAGAACTAGTGGTAAATGGCATCGTGCCTTAAAGCAAATTGCTGGAACTTCCCACACCATAATAAAATATTGGAAAAATAAAATTTAGTAAAAAATATTTTTATCGAAAATTAAAAAAAAAAAAATTCCCCAAAGCAATTGTCTTGTCAACACAAGCAGATAGTTTTTTATATCATTTAAATCGGATGCTTAGTTCTCTCAAATACTGCCATTTTTTGCATATTTAGCTTCGAATCAAACGGATAGACCTGCCTTTGCCAAAATCTAATTACCACTTTTTCTCACCTTTGGAAATTGAATGTTTTTTTTGGATCATTCAAATCTAAAGCTCTCAAAAACACGATTTCAATTTTTTGTACTCTTTATTTCATACCTCCGAAACGACTGGAGCTGCCTTTGCCAAAAACTGAGCAGCACATCTCCCTATCAATAGGAATCGAACATTCTTTTAACAATTCAATTAGGTAAATCCATGCGCCCGAAAACGTGGACGAAAAAATGCGGACACACAAAACACACACGCACACAAACACATCCATTTTTTCCGAAGTATGCCAAAATGTTCAGAAATCTTTAAAACATGAAGATATGCAAAAATTTCCAATTTTGATTATTGACCATTGCAATAACTTACCTTAAGTAAGGTGACCATATTTTTTGCATAAAATCCGGGACGGACTAGAATGTGTATGAGAGCGGAGGGGCGAGGGGGCGAGGGGGGTGTTAGTGTGCCAAAAACTTTTATTAACAATTTTCTAGTTGAAATATATTTAAAAAATATCGGCAATCAAACTATTTTTAAAAATCCGGGACCATTCGGGACAAAACACCTAAAACCGGCACAAATATTGCTTTTAGAAAAAAACGGGACGCAAAGCCAATCCGGGACGTATGATTACCTTACCTTAAGGGAAGTTAAAAATAACTATATGTAATCTGCGGGTAATTTTTGTTATAGACTAGTGGCCTGCCTTTCTAAGCGTTTTCTGCTGGCTTTAATCTTTTGGATTGTCATCGATTCTGCTTTATTTCAATTCATGATTTGTTATCATCAAAAATTATCTCAAATAAACCAATTTGCAATACTGAAATTAAAAATCACTCATATTTGATCATTACTAACACACTTTATTAATCATTGACACAATTCACGTTTTGCAAAATGTTACGAAAAAACAATATGTTCAGAGTAACTGTGGAATAACAATACATGTTTCTAACTATAATGAAAAAATTGGAGACAACTTCAAACTGTCGACATCGTGCCATCCGTCGTCTTGCCGCACTCACAATCCACATCCCCATTGATCCTGCGCTGCTCTTCTTGCAGCTCCTTCAACTCGGCATGCAACAATCTGTTTTCTTGCTTGAGCCTTGCATATTTTTCATCTAATCTATCGGTTATCCTATCTAAGACCTTGGCTGCAGCCAACAAAGCATCTTTTGTCGGTGCAATATGTTGTGGCTTACTGGCCGGGGCGATGTTTGCCGGTTTTGTTGGCACGGCGGCCGGAACTGGAGGGTTAGTCGACACCCCGCAAGATTTGCTGACTTGTTTGCACAATGCCGGAGCGCTTGGGAGATTTGACATATCCGGAGTTTTACCGGAGCAGTATGGGCTGAAGCTTTTGACACGGTTGTGGTTCAGTTTTAAGGTGACGGGTTTGCTGCTGGTGTCTTTGGTGGTAGATTTAGCATTGGTGCAAGGTGGGGTTATTTTGCGAAGCGAGGTGTTGGTGGTGGGGTTGTTGATTGATATGTTGTGACTGTTGAAGAGTCTGTGGATTTTCTCTGTAGCTGTGGATGTAAAAGATGATTTAGAATCATGATGCAATAGCATTTTGTTTACTAAAATTAGAATCTAAGATTAATACTAGTGGTGTATAGCATCGAGCCTTAAGGCAAATCGCTGTAACTTTCCGCACCGTGATAAAACATTACGATTAAATGTTTTCAAATAGACTATTATAAATACTGTAGCTTCCATTATTCGTCTGTTATAGACACGATATATGGTTTATTCATTAAAAGAATTTTCATAAAGGCCCATAAAAAGTATCTGTAATTTAACTACACAAATTAGTGAAATTGACTAGTGGGGTGTATGGCATCGTGCCTTAAAGCAAAATGCTGGAACTTCCCGTACCGCAACGAAATGTTTAGGATTTAGAATCATGATGCTATGGCATTTTTATTTACTAAAATTAGAATATAAAATTAATACTAGTGGTGTATGGCATCGTGCCTTAAGGCAAATCGCTAGAACTTCCCGTACCGTGATAACTTTACGATTAAATGTTTTCAAATAGATTATTATAAATACTGTAGCTTCCATTATTCGTCTGTTATAGACAAGATATATATGGTTTATTCATTGAAAACAATTTCGTAAAGACCCATAAAAAGTATCTGTAATTTAACTACACAAATTAATAAAATGAATAAGTAAATGATTAATATAATGGTCAATAAATTATTTGGAAAATTATATAATTTATTTAGATTAAAATTACATGTGAGTAAATTTGAATTAGAATCATTTATTATAGCATCATTATTAAAAATTAATAAAAAAAAAAATTGAAATAAATAAAAAAATTTAGTGTTAATAAGAATAAAATAAAAAGAGTTTTATATATATATATATATATATATATATATATATATATTAATTGAGAAGTATTCAAAATTTGAAATTCTTGTAATATAAATTAGTAAACCTAATATTCCTCAAAAAAAATGAATTTAATAAAATATATAAAAGTCAAAATGTTTTTGAAATTAAACCAATAAATATTCTTGTTCAGGATGAATAACTATAAAAAAAAATAATTTACAACGACGTTTATATAAGATTACATGAACAGAACTTGAACTTATAAAGGAGAGTTAGAGTGAAAGATCTTGTCTCATATTTCTAAGAATTATTTAAACTGAATTGCAAAGTTGACATTATTTATTTCAAGTATATCAGTAAATTTTAGCTTGTGTCAGAGTATGGTAGTCGTCATAAAAGCTATATAAACTATACCGGTTTTGAGATGGCGTTGAAGGGAAAAAGTTGAAGTATGTTTGTTCAAACAAGTTTCCATTATCACATTGCCCTACATTTACATGATCTGTTAATTTAAAGGAGTCGAAAGTAAATTTTTGTGTTCGATTTCTTAAATGTTAATTGTATACAGATAGATCATTTTTGTTTGTAATTTTGCTGTAAGAAGGCATCCATCAATCACATGAGCGAGTTTTTAAGGATTTTTGGACCCCCCTGCCACTTGGTGATACATGATGATATTGAAAATAATCCCCCCCCCCCAAACATCACGTGTATTTTTAGTTACGTGATAAAACTGTAAAATTTTTAATTTTTTTCTGAAAATATTTGACCTTTTTTAGAAATGTTTGAATTTAAAAAGAAAAATCAGTTGAAAAATAAATACACCTGATATCTTACTATACCCTTCTCTTCCCCATGTAATATTTCGTGATTATTTACCAGCAATTAGTTTTTGCTTATATAATTTATCTCAGTCATAATGTAGATTTGTTTTCAAAAGTGTGCGTTGGGTACGGTTGTGACAAATTTTATGGGTACGGTTGTGACTTATATTTCTTGTCCTTTTTGGGTAAAGATTAAACAGACAAAGAAAATTCTGACTCAATTAAAACAAAACACGAAAGAGAAAGAGAAAGGATAATTCAATACAAGAAAAAAAAGGATTTCACTAAAAATGCTTGTTAACCTTGTCTAAGAAATTATGTTTTGTTATATATTGTTATATTTTATTCATAAAGTTTGTTTAAATGTTTATGTTGTATTGTATCGCATATTATTGTTACTGACGACAATAAAAGTCATTATATACCATATTGGTGTTTACAGCTATTGTTTTTTATCCTATTTCTATATCTGTTTCAACCGTCCACACCCCAGGACGGTTGTGACACACGCCTTTTTCTTGTATGATTTGATTTTATAACAAAGCCTCCGAATTTAAGGACAATATTTCAGTATTCCCACGTTCTATGTTCCACTTATCATTTAATTTGCTTTACTCTCAACTGTTTGGTAAATTAACAAAATTATTGCTGATCAAAAAAAGTGGCACAACCGTACCCAGTATCCTCTAGTTATTTTTAGTTAGTAATTGTCTGGAAAAGAAGTTCGAACTTCTTGATCAATTACGACCTTATGTATTCAATATAGAGAATAATGGTCAGATTTTATGTCATAAATAAAATAAGTTTTGTTAATTCTATAGATTTTATGCACACTATTAAAAATATTGTAACGATAATCGATATTATCAATAAATATGCTTTATTATTATTTAGAGATTTACAAAAAATTACCTCCTCCCATTGAAGAACCTTGAGTACCATTGCGTCTAGCATTGTCCATGGGAGTTGATCCCTTAGAATTCAAAGCAATATTTGGGTCAATCACTCTCACCGAAACGTTCCAAAGAGGTTGTTGTACCTGATTTCCAGTCGGTGGAGATTGTTGTTTAATTTTATTTCGTGGACGAGCATGTAGTGCAATTTGTTGATCTTTGATTCTTATATTTTTTGCTGTTTTATTATTCACACTGCTCACTTGCTTGGTGGGACGTTGGACTCGAGGAAGAGGACGTCTGAAAAAATAATGGATATGATACGAAATATTGTTTCTTTAAAGGATTTCACTTGTAAAATGTAAAAATTAATTTTCCTAATTTTATAAATCAATGCTGTTGACTATCCTTTATATGGATTGCATTATAAAACAGCTGTTGTTCTATACAATATAAATTTATAGTCCTCGTCCATACATTGATATATTGTGTTTGCTATTGGCCCATATTTTGAACAAAATGTCAACACATAACTTTCCTGTATTCCAGCAAAACATCGTAAACATTTCTTGTCATGAATTAATATTACTACATCACATTGTTCAAAAGGTCGACAGGAATAATTTGAATTATTACAAAGGGACTTTTACATCAAAATACATACAATATCAATACATATAATATCAATGCAATAGTATTGATATTATTCAATGCTATTATTAAGATGCAATATACCTGCACACACGATGTTTTCCAATGTCCATTACTTCATAAAAACAAGTTTTAATAAAAATTTATTGGGAAATTGAAATCGTAGAAAATTACGTTGCAAATTTTGCTTGTCTATTTAAATCTATAATTTTGATATTATGGTTAATTCAACGTGCAAAAAATTTGGAAAAAGTTTACTTGTATACTTAATTAAATATTTTAAAATTCAATTGTTTTTCGTGTTGGTCTGATGTCATTTTGAACTAGTTTTTAAAATTCAAACAAAATAAAATATTTAGATGTAAATAAAAATTAATTTGTAGTATGGTTGATTTTTAAGTATATACTTAACTTATAACAACTAGGTGAAAAACTGAAAGCAGTGCAATTGTTGCAGATAAAATATTGATTTATTTTTTGTAATAAAATATTTTATTTCTGGTACAGTAAAAAAATACTTATTTAAAATCTGTAAAACCGAACTATATTAGTCTAATGTAGTTGGCGTTTCTATCTACCAAATGCTTGTTTAAATAATTAAATCGTTTTTTTTTAAATCTTTTATTAATGCCATACATTTATTAATAGAATACTTTAAATTTTTATGCAAAGAAGGTTTAAGCTGATGTAGGATCTTTAACCTCTGTAGCATAATATAGGGCAGGGCTGGGCACAAAGGTTTAATTTGACTTTTAGTAATTATATTAAGAAAACCAAACCAATTATATCATAACAAATAACACAAATCAAACAAACAACTATCTGACTATTCAGTGGAACTCCCAACTAATGCATTCGTGTAAACGTGTAATTTTTACTATTTTTCTAAAATTTGTCATCTGTCCTTTCTATCCCATAAAATGTGACAACCAAGGGGCCATCAAATCCAATATCTTATTTTTTAAAGGGATTTTAGGAAATAATTTAATCAACTACTATATCAAATCATAAAAAATACAAAGAAAATATATAGCAAAAATGGTGTACAAATAAGGTGACCATACGTCCCGATTTGGATCGAAAAGTATAAATTTGAATTGAATTTTCGAAATTACTTGCTAATAAAATTACAACTATTCATCAAATACCTGAAAATGTTTCAACGAGTATGTTTCTATGAAACAATACGTTATGCATGAGAAAATTTCCGAATGCAACATTCCAAACCTGAGTAGCTTTAACGATAATAATTTCGTACATTCTATTTGCAATTTTACCAAAATTAGAAAAAAAATTGAGGACGACTTTTTGAACTGCTTTACACAAACGTAAATTTCAACTAAGTGAGTCAATTATGGAGAAAATTGAACAGAATTTTATATATGGCTTAAAAGCGAAAAAAAGCATATGTACATTAAAAATACAATATATAATGATTCCTACTAAAAGTCAGTAATTCTGCATAAAATCACGATTTGTTTAAGAAAGTGTTGAAAAAAAGTTTTTTATTGTATCCTTAAATAAAAGAATAGTATTTGTTATCAAAATCATATTCAAGTATTTAGCATAACAACGACTTGCTGTCCCAGTTTTGGCCTAAAAAATATGGTCACTTCAGTACAAATTCATAATTTCATTCCAATTTTAAACTACATCTTCGTAATATGATTCCAATTCTAAACTTTTGTCTAACGATGTAACAATTATCTCCAATATAATTACTTCATTGTCAGAATAAGTTAGGAACTTCCTTTCCTAAATTTCTCATTCTTTGTCCGAAATCTGTCTTATTTAGTCTTTGTCTTGTTCGTGTTGCAGGTGCTGACGTCTCTCATAATTAATTCAGAACGAGAGGCTGTCGTCGACTTCAGCGTTCCCTTCATGGAAACAGGAATTGCTATAGTGGTAGCCAAGAGGACTGGAATTATCTCTCCAACGGCCTTCCTGGAACCATTTGACACCGCATCTTGGATGCTGGTGAGTATTAATCGATAATAAAGGAGAAGACTTGTTTGAGGAATAGTAACTAGTTGTAAGTAGCCTGAAGGGAGGGGTTCTAGTGTGGAGAATTAAATTTTAGATAATTTTCAAAAGCAAAATAAACTAGAGGTGCATGGCATCGTGCCTTAAGGCAAATTGCTGGAACTTTCCGCACCAAAAATTTAATTTTTTATAACAGATCCAATTTTCTTTTAGAACTCTAAAAAAATCGATATTTGAAAAAAAATTACCTCTTTGAAAAATTTGATTTTTTTTATATTTTGAAATATTTTGGAAATTTTGAACTTTTTTTCAAAGCAATCGCGATACGATAACGCGCCGCGTTCCAGTATTACGGCTAAACATTGGTATGGAACCCATAGAAAAGTAAAAAAATGTGTTATTATTATTGAAATATCTATAAAATGTCTGATAATTTGAGAAGTTAAAAAGGCAATTCATTTTGTTCACTATTATTTTTTATTTGTGATTTATTTATCACTGTTTCAAGAGTACAAAAAAAAATTTAAAAAAAGTATCAATTTTAGGAGTTAGCAGTTGTTGAGGTGTCTCAAAAAATTGCTACGTGACCATGACCAAGCTTGCAATCTCCTTTAGTAATCTGAATTGGAAAAAAAGAAAAAAGAAATTTAAACTAGATAGTTTTTTTTTGTAAAATGTCTTACTGACAGAATAGCGACTGTTTTAAAAAAGACCGTTTTTCAGTTTGCCCAATTTTTAAAAATATTAAACATTAAAATTTGGGGATACGTCTAGAAAATACCTAAGAAAAGTTTATAAAAAAGATTCTCTGAAAAATTCAAGTAAATTTAATAAAACTCGAGAGGCTTTTTTGACAAATTGCTTTTTTGATAAAATGACTGACTGTTTGACAAAATCAGTTTTTTAGTTTCTCGAATTTTTAGGAATCTATAAAAAAGGTTTTCTGAAAATTTCAAGTAATAAATGGGTTTAATAAAACTCGAGAAATCGTGAGCAACGTATTGAAAAAGACGGTTTTGAGTAAAATGCGAACAGCAGGAAACAGAAGAAGATTATCATGGTCAAACAGCTGTATCCCCAAAAATAATTTAACTTTTAAAGAATCCTCTCGTACACATATTCTTGAGTAGTTAAGTTTCGGAAATATTAAAAAACATAAGATCTTTTTTTTAATTGATTACTTTCTCGACACATTTAATTTCATTCAATTTGCACCTCAAGAAATGTACATAAGCTTCAGCATAGATTCTGATTAGAATCGTCTAAGGGCGCGGCAATATTTTTTTATAATTCAACTGCTTATCATTGAATTATAATATTTTAGTATGTTATGTCAGACTACAAAATCTATTATCATACAAAATTTCATCAAAATCGTCGAAATAAATCTTCACATTTAATTACGAAGAAATCTAGGCTGGCCACTCTCTACCAAAAACTAGTCAGCGCAATTTCCAACCAATTTATTTAGCACTGTTTTCAAATATTTAAAAATGATTCAAGATTGTGGGTTTGAACGTGGATAAAATCTTTTACACTTTACTGCTAATTACAAAGAAACTGCTTGACCGATTGTCGCACAAGTCTTTATCTAGTTACATCGGATGGCTTTTATATTTTTAAAATCGGTGCAGCCGTAAAATCTTGCTTTAATTTTTTTCAAAATTGTTATTTTGATTAACATTTTTTTACAATTTCCAAAAATATTCTTTCCTCTAGCTGCTAGTAGCATTTGCCCGAGTATTTTTCGAATCAATAGCAACCATCAGGCGATGGTAACGAATTGAATCCGGCTGACTTATGGAGCATTATGATATTATTGAAGAAAGATTGACTCTTTTTCATCGTCTATATATTGTGGTAGCCTTATTGATGAAATTCAATTTGCTTTGTCATTGCTGCAGACTTATCTCCTTCGCTTTCGTACAATATTTTATTACTATAGTCCTTTTGTAACGAATCAATTCTATTATAGTCACTTAGTATTTATTGGAATTCTATTTATCTTGCAATGATAGATAGAAATAATATGAAAATATTTAACAAATGCAATTTTATTTAAAAATATACTTTTAAAATATTTTATATAGTCATTTATCTAAAAACCTCATCAATTCTTTTATAGAGTACGTTCGCCGCTTTATTACATATCAACTTTCCATTTCCAAATAATGTTTGTTCTGAAACGGCGTTTTGCCAAATAATTTGATATTGCATAAAACACCAATTTATTTTTGTGTTCAATCAAAACCTGTTCTAAAATTGAATTTTTATTTCCAGGTGGGTGTGGTCGCTATTCAGGCTGCAACATTTATAATATTTTTATTCGAGTGGCTGAGTCCGAGCGGATTCGATATGAAATTGTCAGTGCAAACTAATACCCCGAATGCAGCTCACAGATTTTCATTATTTCGCACCTACTGGCTTGTTTGGGCTGTTTTGTTTCAGGTAAACAATAATTCGTTAGCACTGAAAAGTTTGATAGGTAATTAAAAGTTTATTATCTAATTAAAATCGAAACAGGTATTTCGTTTGCTTGTATAATTACTTTGTCATCGTGAAACATTTCTAACGACTGATAAATGTATTTGGAAAAAAATTGATACATTTGTTTGTTGTTTGAACTTTTCTGCGAAAATAATATTTTTAATTTTATTTATTTTCCATGCACTTCACAAGTTAGTTTTTTGCAATGTTATTCATTTTCATGATTTTATATTCTATGCTTCGGCATACAATTCTTGGTATTCTTTTGTTCGTTTGTGATTTTAAATACAAATGAAAATGACGCAAGCATGCATTCGAAACGTATGAAATATAAGCAAGAAAATAATTAAATAAAATGTGAATTTGTATGATTTGCTTTCGAGATAAAAGGTAGAAAAAATACGAGTTTTATATAATATAGATAATCTAATAACGATCTAATAAGAATCAGATAAGAAACGTGTTGGAGTCTAATAAGAAACAATGAATTTACCAAAAAAAATCCATATATTTTTTTAAGGTGCTAGCCTTATTTTATGAAAACTTTCTTTTTCAATATTATTGATATTACCAATATTAATTTTATAGTCTGAGGTTTTAATACTATAAATAAATTATTATGAGCTATTATTTAATTTCTAACATAATATGTATATAATTTAATATTATCAAATGAAATATCAATTAAGTCATTACTTTAGCAGTATTTTTGTTTTAATATCACCTGAAATTTCAAAATAAAATGTTTCTTGATTCTTGAATTTTCTTGAATTCATCTATAAATACTAATAATGCATTTGCAAATGTAGCACACCTGCACACTTTTATAACAAAAATATTTTTATATTATATGGACTGAAATTGGCCAAATCGGTTCAGCTGTTCTCGAGTTTTAGCATACCTATCATAATATTGAGTTCCATTTTTGATATCACCTAAAAGTTCGCAATAATTTTTTTCTTGATTTTTGAATTTTCTTGAATTCATCTATAAATACTATCAATGCGTTTTCTGATGTAGCACACCTGCACACTTTTATAACAAAAATATTTTTATATTATATGGATTAAAATGGGCCAAATCGGTTCATCTGTTCTCAAATTTTAGCATACCTAACATAATATTGAGTTCCATTTTCATATATATATATATATATATATATATATATATATATATATAAGATTTAACCATATTTTATTAGTATCCGAAAAAGCTTCCTGCATAGAAAGAATAGTATATACTATACTATTATTATAACTGTATTAGTATTTATCTCTTATGTTGATGAGTGCTAACAAGTGTCTCATTCCGTTAACGTTTACAAAATTGAGTTGATTTGTCTCAAATTTATGTTGAAACGTCGGAATTTAATATCTCTCAATTAATAAGTGAGTTTAGAGTCAAAAGTGGGTTAATGGGGTAAACTCAGTCTCTGAAGGCATCTGCGCGTTCGTCGATTGTAAACACCATTGTTAAATCTTGTTATATTTGCGGTTTGCCGTGCAACTTTGCTCGGTAACTCGTCGACTTCGCTTTTACGATGAGGAAGTTTTCAACTTTAAGCTCAGCTTCAGTTATCAAAAGGGCAAACAGCAGCTTTAAAGCTTATCCAATTAGTAATGAAAAAATTATAGAAATTTTGTTAAAGCACTTACAGGACTTCCAGGCGTAAAAGTAATCATTGCATTCACAAAGCAAGCATTTAAGATTTGTCAAACTCTATTCTATTCGGAAAGCATTTTTTATTAATTTTTATTATCTATTTTTTTGTTTTGTAATTTATGCTGCCTGAGTCTTTTATCGTTTAATAAAGTTAAAAGTTTTAAAGTTTAATAAAGTTGGAATGTAATAATTTTAATTGTTTCATTGCAGAAAAAGTAATATGATAATTGTGTTTTTTAGTAATTGGTTAAATTTTTTGTTCATGGAAAATTAATGAAAAAGTTTTTACAGAAACAAGTATTTAGCTTTTGGTTTCTAATCAGAAGGTTCAAGTAATTTAGCGACTTCGTTTTTTATAATTTGACATATTAACTGATAAACTGTTATAAAAATTACAATGAAAATGAGGTATACCGTGGTCTCGAACCGTCTGTAATTTATAAAATAAAGTGATTGCCAACGTGGAGCGTACGCCCCACCGGGGAGCAATTTATAACTTCAGGGAAAATTTTGTTGATTTGAATGTAATGTAGTATAGTGGCGGAAAAACATTTAATAAAAAATGCTTTGTAGATCTACCTATGGTGTGGACAGTCTTAGTTTTTAACGTCCCTTCTCTGGTGTCGAAGTTATGCTTTTTCCTCGGGTTGTCCTGACTTTATAAAAAAATTAGATTGATTTTTATTTCTGTAAAGCGAAAAACGATGATTCTAAAGATTAGGTGCTGTTTATGGTGCCAAAGCCTTAAAAAAAGTAAAAATTGGTTTGGAAAATGACATTCTGGTGCACTGCTGCATATGAACACTGGATTGTCCAGTTAAAGTTGTGGACAACTTAATTAAACCAACAATTGATTCAGCTAATAGAAACAAATTATTTGGGGCTTGATAGAATGTTTTTCCACATTCACCAAATGGACCATTATAGCAGCTAGTTTGCTTTTGCTGACTATTTGATTAAAGCCCTTAATTAAAAAAATATGATGACGTCAAATTGTGCCTAATTCAGTATTTGCTAATAAAAACTAGAAGTTTTGTAAACTTAAGATAATAATGCTTTTTGGAAGATAACAAAAGGTTATCGATTAAAATGGTCAATACATTACAGAACAAAATTATTTACTTTCACTTACTTAGTTGCCAACCCAGTAACTACAAATTTCCGTTCCGGTTTTAAAATAAAAGAATACTAATTAACAAAGAAATTATATATAATTTCGTTCTGAGTTATTAAAATGTTAAGAAAATGTCAACTAGCTAAGTAGACTCGTTGCCATTTCTTAGGCTTTACAAAGAAACTGAAACCAGATGCCCAAATGTAGCCTTATGTACAAAAATTTGCTATAATTAAGATAAATATGATGAAATGATAAAAAGAAATAGACTTGAAATAACGCAACGTGGAGAGTAAGTTAGAATCTAATATAAAACCTCTGTGCAGCATGCAAGCCGCAATAAATAAAATTCGGATAGTAATAAAATTAGTTTAAAATTTCTGTTTTTTGGCTTATTCCGAAATTTTACTTATCATGTTCAATAACAGTTTATTAATGATTTCATCTTGAAAGTTAGCATTAACATTTTTTCAGGAACAAAAAATTAATATGGGTGCCATAACGTTTTTAAAAATCTGAAGGTGAGGCGGGGCCCAAAAAAGATTGGGAATCGCTGATGTAGAGTGTTCATATTTAAAATTTATATGTATGTATATATATATATATATATATATACTACGATATTGTATTTCCATTACAAATGTTCATTGTTCAACGTCTGTCCCAGGCCGCCGTGCACGTTGATTCGCCCCGAGGTTTCACATCGAGATTCATGACAAATGTCTGGGCCATGTTCGCCGTCGTCTTCCTCGCCATCTACACTGCCAACCTCGCCGCTTTTATGATAACCAGGTACGTACGAGCACATCATACATATCTACTGAATAATCTCTCAGTTATTTCAAATCATATAATACGAAAGCTATTTCGTTATATATCTTATTCTGGACATCGTACAAGATGTATGTAGGAAGGTGGTGACGTTTGTACCAGTAAGTACTATACATTTGTTCAAACCCGTGTCATTTAAGGGGGTATTCTAGTGTAGAATTTCTAAAAAATCTTTTTTTTTTTGTTTCATATTTTCAAAGTTTAACGTTCTAAAAATATGGATACGAGAAGATTTTTGAAAATTTGAATTATTTACTGACCCGGTCAGTCAGAAACTCAGAACAATAATGACTCTCTAAACTCGTTGATGTGGATTTTCGCGCCGAAGCATATTCATTCCCGATCTCGGGTAATTGAAATAGCAACATTTATTGCTGTTTGCATATTCAATTAAGGTTTCTCTCCGATTTTAAAAATGATGACCCTTATGGTGACGAAAATCGGGTCAAAAACTCATTCATTTGTTGTAAGACGAGACGTATTGAACGATCTTAAATACGTACATCCAACGCTTTAAAGGAGGCTAGAACTGCTCGATTTGAATAGAGAAATGCAGAAAATATTTTTTTGAAGTAGAAGAAAGTCCTGTTCATAAAACAGGAATCGCAGATTAAATAAAATAAGTATAACATATCATTTTATGACTTTGTCAGCAAAAACCTTCACGCAAAACTTTAAATGCGTTTTTCTCAGAACAGAATTTTTCAGTACGGTTGACACGATTTCTCGAGTTCTACTAGAAATGTTCAAATATTCTTGTTAATAGACCTATCTGCATCATCCCCAAATTCCAATTTTTGCTATTTATAAAAAATTCGAGAAACTCAAAAAAAAAACAGTCAAAAAACTCAAAAAACAAAAAGACACTTTTTTTAAGCTTTCTTTTACGACACTTTAAAAATTACCAAAAATTCGTTGCTCTAAACTAGAATACCCCCTTAAATTTTATTGTGAGTGAGAGATGAATTTTGTGTCGATTTTTTATTATATTTACGTCAAATCTCTTTAAGTATAAATAGTGTAATTATATAGTTTTGTGTTGCTAAAAATTTTGTAGTTTGGTCAGCTATGTTGCTTTCGAAGATTCAAATATAAATTGTATCAGCAATTTTTATTGCTGATCTGTGATTGGACTTTCAGCAAATTAGAGTAATTTTAAAATTTGCCCTTAAGGGCGAAACAGTATATTTAAAAACATAGGATTTTTAAAAAAAAGTGATTATTTAAAATAGACAATATTTTCTTCAAGGAGATATTTTAGGAAATAAGCTCGATACGTGTAAATAATCGATTTATTCAATTCTTTCGACATTTAAATATCATCGATCTGTTTACCTGTCTACTTGTATGCCTGTCTGCCTACCTATTTCTCTATATTTCTATACTTCTTTACTTCTATACCTATCTACCCGTGTACCTGTTTACCCGCCTACTTGTCTACTCGTTTACCAGCTTACCAGCCAGATTATCTGTGTATATATGAATATCAGCTATCTAACTGCTGATCATCTGCCCACCTGTCTAACTAATATCTGCCATTCAAGTTGCCTACCTGTTTATTATTAAAATATTATATTATTAAAATTATGCTCTGTTATATTTTTAGAGAGGAGTACCACGATTTCACCGGCCTGGACGATCCTCGATTATCGATGCCATTTTCCCACAAACCAATGTACAAGTTCGGAACGGTGCCTTGGAGCCACACCGACTCCACCCTGAGCAAATATTTCAAGCAAATGCACGCCTACATGCAAAAGTAAGTAGATTAATAAACTTAGAAATTTGACTTTTAGCAATTATACTGTGGAAACCAAACCAACTGAATCAGAATAAATAATATATATCATACAAACAAATAGCTGACTATGTTGAGTAAAACTCCCACCTAATTTATCACTATACACCATTGACATTTTTTCAAAAATTTGTCAGCTGGTTCTTTGTATACCATAGGGTAAAACAGTCAGGGGCAAAAAGGTCCACCAATTATAAAAATATTTTACGAGGTAATATCTACAGTATTTAGTCAATGTGATGCAGTTTAATTATTAGGTTAAACATTTATTCACGTTTTAAATATTTGGGAATTGGAAGAAGTCACTTTATAAACAAGTTATATTGGAATAAATCTTTAAATGGTACCCTAGCAAAAAAAAAAAAAAACTTAATATTTATTCCAACTGGTATAAATTTTCCAAACTATTACAAAAGGTATTTAATAAAATGACTGATTCTATAGAATCTAGTTTTGACTTTATAATACAATAAGCCAACTTAATCGGAAACAAAATATTTCATGAAAATTAATCTAAGCATGCGCATTTTATAAAAAATAATCTAAGCATTTACATTTAAAACAATATCAACGAAATCAAATGTGACAACTTAAAATATTTTTCATTAAAATTTTATAAATTAAATGCCTAACTAATTTTCTAATTATTACAAAATATTACCTTCACGATGAATATAAACGATTTGAACACTGAGTGCTTATTGAAAATATTTTCTTACTTGCCGTACTCGGATTTATTAAAAGTCGAAAAAGTTTGCGAAAAATGGCTTGATTTGGCAGAAACATGCTGGTGGAATGTCAGAACCTTGGATTCTGATGAGCAACGTATGTCAGATTGTGGAAAATCGCCTATGACTACTCATGTTGTAAAAAAAATTATCAAAAGAGCCCAAAAACGCCTCCTGGAGATTCGATTAAAATCTTATCCTTACGATTATATCATAAAATCAAATATTCAGCAAACAATAGCACATTGGTGTCCTTTCCTTCAAGTTCTAAAATTATCTACTATCACTTGTACGGAAAAAGGAATGGAAATCCTAGCTAAAAAATGTCGTCTTTTGAAGGTGATTGAGTTATCCAGTATTGTGAGACTCATGGATAAGGATTTGTATCATCTATTCAAAAACAATGCAGATTTGGAAAGTATAACTCTAAAATGGAGTACTACACTGAAAGGTGAATGTTTTAATGGATGTACTTCCAAATTAAAAGAACTCAATCTGTACGGTTGCATTAATTTGAGCGCTAGGATTTTACTTGATTTATTCACCAAGTTATTTTCAATAGACACTTTACTATTCGACTATTGCATACCTTTTACTGGCAGATTTTTAAGCGATTTATCGGATATTTTTCCTAACCTGAAAAGCTTTTCTTTGAATTCTTACTCATTTCCAATGCCTATCTATTCGCTGCAAAATATAACAAAGATGAAAAATTTGAAAACTTTGTCGTTGAATTCTAATAATTTACTGAGTGATCGATTAATGGAAGTAATTTGTGAGAATTGTGTAGAATTAGAATGTTTGGATATATCTCGTGTTGTGGCAAGTAATATTTATTTGTCTGAGAGAGCTTTGGAAAATATTGTAAAGCTCAATAAATTGACAAAGTTGCGAATGAATTATTTGAGACTATTGAGTAACTCAATTTTGATTGCCCTGGGAAATAAAGGAATATTGGAAGATTTAGAAATTCAAAATTGTATCAATGTTACGGATGCAGGAGCTAAGATGATTATATCGGGATGTCTAAAGCTTCAGGTAAAAATATACTTTAAAATTAAAATAGTAAAATTCATTGTAAAATTGTAACTTCTAGTTTTTTAAATTGAGCAATCTGATCGAGTAGAATTTAAAAATTGAATAAAATATTTTTTTAGAAATTGGATATAAGCGAGGCTAGAGGAATAACTCTTGAAACTTTAGAACTTGCCAAAGAAGTCATGGACAGGCGTGAGGATCCAAAATCAATTTTAAATCTAATAATCGGCGGCAGTTGCATTTCAGATTCATCTGATGCTGAAGTATTTATTTTTTTTATTAAAAAAATGATTATAAAAATTATATTTTTGTCTAAAATTTTCAGTTGGAAGTGTATGCACATCCTCGAATTCATTTAAATTTTGAAAATTCTTGTGACAAATTGACCGATATTGAGCATTACACGTCTGTGTTTATTATGGATGAAAACCAAGAAATGAGTGCACGACGTGAACATCATTATAATTTCTTGATTTATGGCGATGAGTAAATTGAAAAGTGTTAATAAAGAGAGTGCATCTGTGTGTTGAATTAAATTTAGTTGTCTTAATTTGCTGTGCATTTTTATTAAAGTGAATATTTGCATAAAACAATGTATGTGATATATTTTGTCAATAATACATATGGTAAATATAAATATATTCAAAGTAGTCCATATAAATTTATGGTGTATTATTGTGTGTAAAAATTTAACTGTTATAGAAACTATAATATTTTTAACAGACAAACTTCTTTAGGCGCGAGGCGCGACTAGGGTGTAAATCCGTACAAATGCAACGGAAGTCCGTTACGCCCGAACCGTCATTCGCTCTCGGTGAGATCATTTCAATCCGGGCCGATTGTGATAAGTCGTTGTGCATGTGAATAGAGATCTTTTGTTGTATTCGTACCAGCATCAACGTCGTATGCGTACCGATATCAACAAGGAATCGGCATAGATAAATAAACATTTTAAAGTTACATCGTAGTACAAATCTTTGAATAAAGGTTCTATAAATCTTTGAAGTTATTAGAATGGAAAATACTTTTTAGGCAATACAGATATTACAGCTGTAAAAATAATAAGATTATATCGCCAGCGAAAAAGTAAAAAAATACGAGCATTCAATGAATGTATGTTAATTTTAATTACATGAAGTTCTTCAAACACAATTATTACATGATGAGTGAAGTTGCGAAAACAATATTTGTTTATGAGTTGTTTAACATAATCCACTGTGTGAACAAATTTTAAAGAATTTATTAATCAGCAATTACTTCATTTCTCTAATTAAGGCTCATTTCTAAATACTAATTACAATGGCAAACCGATCATGTCATATTTGAAGTATGACTTTAATTACATTATTGTTTTTAAATATTATACATATTTTTAATGCTATTATAAATATAATTTATAATTTATCATTATATAAATGTGTATATATGGTCGACACTAATAAATGTGTGCATCACGAGTGTTACCATATTATTAAGAAACATTATTCAAAATTGTTATATGATGTATTTATTTTTACTTAAATACCATATCTTTTACAGTAGCAAATAAGTTTTACTTCGATCGAAAGTGTGAACCTTACGCGCATTCTTTTTTCCAATATTTTAGTATTCATAGAAATAAAACTTATTAGTTTATATTAGTGTATTATTTATTATTAGTAGTGTATTAGTATTAGTAGTAAATTATTTTATTCTTAATTTTTAGACATAATAAAAGCAGTGTGCAAGAAGGAATTGATGCGATTCTAAGCAGTGAACTTGATGCTTTTATTTACGATGGAACAGTTCTGGATTATTTAGTAGTACAGGTAAGTGTCTTTTTTGAATAAGTTTTGAGATGATAAGTAATTCATGAATTTTTTAATAACAAATAGTTTATTTCTCATATTGGAGAAATGTCTATTAAGATTTACTAATTTTTAATGACTAAAATTTGATATAGATGTATTATTTATCAGCAATAGTCGATTAAACAGCTTTTGTAACTAACTTTATAATCAATTTAGAATGATTTTCCAAAAAATTTTGAACCTTTTTCGAATGTCTAAAAATCAGAAAAGGTCATTGTTGCATAGCTGTATCTTTGCAATCATTGACTATACAAGAAATTAGGGGTTTAGGGTGGGTTCATCATTGTTATTAACTATTTTTTAACATAAATGTCACATAGAAATCGGAACATCTGTTTTTTTCGTATTAACTTGTGATAATAGAAATTATTTTAAAAATGCCATAAAGGATAGGATGAATTATTGTAAATGTTTACAATTTTATGTTACAATCTACGGATTTGTTTTTCCACAAATAATAGTTAAATATAAGAATATAATAGATCGATTTAGAAAGTTCAAAGTTTTTTTAGGAAATGATGTATCATTGTGTTAAATAATTTTTCGTTAAAGCTGGTCATTTTATAAAATGAATTTTTTGCCGCAAAATTCAATATAATTGATACACTTTCTCTTGCACCGAATTTATAAAAAGTGTTAGTTAGTTAGAAAAAAATACAAGATCAATTGATTGTTATTTTGTCCTATAAATATGTATATATATATATACGTATATATATATATATATATATATATATATATATATATATATATATATATATATATATATGTATTTAACACAATGATACATCATTTCCTAAAAAAACTTTGAACTTTCTAAATCGATCTATTATATTCTTATATTATTATAAGAATATAAATATTATTATATAATATTTCTATTATTAGGATGAAAATTGTCGATTACTGACTGTGGGTTCCTGGTACGCCATGACGGGCTACGGTTTGGCTTTCAGTAGGAATTCGAAATACGTCCAAATGTTTAACAAGAGATTATTGGATTTTCGGGCAAACGGGGATTTAGAAAGGCTGAGAAGGTAATTTTCTATTATTTGACACAATAATATAAAATGATAAACAGCCTAGCTAAGATTATAGGTATCACAAATAAAAAAAATTGCTATCTTGTTATGTACACTTAGATTTATAAATGACAAGGGCGTTGCACTTGAGGCTATATATATATATATATATATATATATATATATATATATATATGATCAAAACAAAGATAACATGAATTTACATTTATTGAAATATTAGATTGCTCTGTTTTCTTTTTAACAATAGTAATTGTTATAATATTTAAATTCTTTTATTTTAAATAACGTGATAATTAGAAAAATATTAACAAGGCACTGGTAGTTGAGATAGGGCTCAAATTATGTCCAATTGTGAAAACTATGTGGGTCTGCTAACCAAACACTTTTACTCTTATTTAAACAAATAAACAAAAACTGTATGTTAAAATGGAACAAGAAAAAAACAACTTAGATTTCACTTTATGGAAAGAATTCTATGACAAATTTAGAATTAATTTTAATAATTTCATCATGTGGTAGAAATAATATATGTAAAACATGTATGTATATGTTTAAAAATTAAAAAAAAATGTCTGTTCTTTATTTAGGTATTGGATGACAGGATCCTGCAAACCTGGCAAACAAGAACACAAAACCTCAGATCCTTTGGCTCTGGAACAATTCTTGTCAGCATTTCTTTTATTGATGGCAGGAATATTACTGGCCGCCTTATTACTTCTTCTCGAACATTTATATTTCAAATATGTACGTAAACATTTGGCAAAAACAGACCGAGGTGGCTGTTGTGCCCTGATTTCTCTTTCCATGGGTGAGTCAATCGGTAAATATAAGAATTTATTTTCTAATGAATGCTGAATATTCGTTAGAAGATAACTGTTTTAGAGGAGAAATGCATAGAAATGATAGACGGATGGAGGTTCTATGTATGTGTAAATAAATAATTATTTATTAAATGTTAGATGCATTTACTTGGTTGTTTGTGAGCATGATTTTGTGCAGGCAGACATATATAGTTTTTTTGTCAGAAAATATTTTTGTCAATCAAAGCATTATGGAAACTTAAGACAGTCAAAATTCCAACTTTTCAAAATTTAATGAGGAAAAAATAAATTATCGATTCCAACCAAGGTTAAATTCGAACCGTTTGATCCAAGGTTCAAGTCAAACTCATATGTAATTAAATATTAGAAATTACTTATAAATTAAAAATTTTAGAAAATTAGGTAATATATATTTTTTATTTGTTTATTATAATACCTTTGTAATTTAAGTTATAATATGTGTTTTAGCAATCGAATTCAACATTGCAATTACTCTTATATTTTTAGTCTATTATATTTTTCTAGAAAAATTTACAATTGCATTTTTCTACAGTTAAAATTGGCTACTAGTTATTAAAATATCATACAAATTTATTTATTTTTTTTACAAACTATCAGTATATTGATATTATAATAAGGCTCATGTCAATATTTTACTAATTTTATATATTTTAACTGATTATTTCATTATCATGTATTTATTATTCAATTTATTCACCATAAACTTACTTATATTTAGTTAATTTTAATTATTTTCAAATATAAATAGTTTGTTTTTTACAGTTAGGGTTTATATAGATTGCAAGTATTTTTCTTAATAAATTACATGTATAGATACTTTTACAATATAATTATTTTGTTTATATCAAATTGGCTAATTTAATATAATTAAAATATATACAATAATTAGTATTTTCTCAAAACTACTATGTTTTGAATTTTATTTTTTATCCAGTCAATTCAATACAATTTTTGGTCTATTGCAAATTAATATATTAATTTAGATTGAACTTAAATAGATTTTCAATTAGTTATTAGTTATCAAGGTATTAAACAAATTACAAAATTGGCTTATTTAAAATTAATAAAGTACCTAAATATCGAATTTAATATTTTTCAGAGTTAAATATTAATTTGAACTTGAAATTAATCCAAAATTATCAGCAATGAAAATCCTATATAATTTTTTTATTTCATTGTAAATATATTATGTTTTTTGGTAAAGATTCCTATTGAATTTTTCTACAGTTAAACTTGGTTACCAGTTATTAAAATATCATACATGCTATAAAATTGGCTGATTTTATATAATTAAAATATATATAATAATTAATATACTCTAAAAAATATCACGTTTTAAATTTTAGATTTTATACAGTCATCACAATACAATTTCTATCAAAATTTTGGTCTTTGGTATTGCAAATTAATAATTTAATATAGATTGAATTTAAATTGCACTTGTATTGAAATTGGTTATAGGTAATAGTACCTATATATCAAATTTAATATTCTTTACAAATAATTATTAATTAGAATTTAAAATTAATCCAAAACTCATCAACATATTATTGTTGCCATCAATTCATTTCAATCACACTTTGATAAAATTCTTTTGAGAAAAAATAGAGCAATTACAAAAATTGTGTGGACTTGATTTTGATTCTTAATTATCTGCATTCAATGTATTTCGAATCATGAAAATAATAAAAATATCTGCATGATCTGCCAGGATGTGAGTAAAATAAAAAAATATATTGATATGGAAACTATTTAAACTAAAAAATTAAAAATAAAATTTTGAAAATTGGACAATAATATTCAACAAATATTGAGTGTTGTGGTAATATAATATTGATTAAAATATCAATATGATAATATAAAATTGATTAAAACGCCTGTGATGCATACAATTTTATTAACGTTTAAGTTAAAACTTTACTTTCTCTACAGTAAAAGTTAAAAATGTCTATATATATTATAAATTCTAAGATTGAGAAATAAAAAAAAAATTAATTGGTTGATTATAAATAAAGCAATATATTCTCAAATGTAGAAACTACAACGTTCAAATTATATAAATCTAGCACATTGGAAAAGAATCTAATATGGGCAGCCAATATGGTTACTTATAGAAGTGTGAAATAGGTTTATGAAAGCATGTTGTTATATATGTATGCTAAAATTTTGAATACGAATGTATGCTAAATAAAATAGGAACTTTAAGCTCTAGCAAACTTGTTGTTGAATTCTAACAAATATTTCTTCCATCAATTAATTAATTATGTATCAATTATTTTTTTAGGAAAATCCTTAACTTTCCGTGGTGCAGTTTACGAAGCTCAGGACATAATTAGGCAGCATCGTTGTTGTGATCCGATTTGTGACACCCATTTGTGGAAAGTGAAACACGAATTAGACATGTCCAGGTTACGAGTCAGACAACTTGAAAAGGCCATGGAAGCACATGGACTTAAACCACCACAAAGAAGGTGAATAATATATATATATATATATATATATATATATATACTAGCTAACCCGACAAACGTTGTTTTGCCATAAAAAATATGCCTAAATTGATAAAAAATTAATAAAAGTGCCGAAAATCAAATATTTAAAAGATTTGGACTCGAATTCTTTGACAAATAGTTAAAAACTTGTTATAATTTTCAAAATTATTTGACATTTCATACTTCAAAAATTAATTTCTCGCATCATAGTTTTTTGTTTATTATACTTTTATCATGTCATATATGTCAATAAAATTTTCTTTCAAATATTATTTATTTTTTAATAAATTAATAATTATTTTAAGTCACCAATGAATAAATTATATAATAGTTAGATTCATAAGTTTGGCTAAATCAATACAGGAATATTGTGGAAATAAATATTTTTTTACATAAAAATCGGATTTTTGACATTTGCATTTTATTTCAAATTAATTATAATTGTCAAAATATTTTCTTTTCGGTCAAAATTTAATATAATATGATATAATATTTAGTTTGTCTAGTTTGTTTTTGTCAGATTCCAATGATACCCTCAGATTGTACTATTCCATTTAAGAGATTACAATTTCCTGTAAGATTAGCATTTGCGATGACAATCAAAATATATCTCAACTGATATATTAATAATAATATTATATTTTAATTACACAAATTTCTTTACACTTCGATAATTAATTCCAATGCATCATAGTGTTTTGTTTATTTTAATTTTCTTTGTCAATTTTTTTTAAATTAACGAATAAATTATATTTTATTCTAAATCAAAGCTTTATAATCAAATTACAAACAATTTTTTTCCAAAAGCAATTATTTTGTTGAAACAAGTAGATAGTTCTCTGAATCATTTGAATCGGACGCTTAGTTCTCTCAAAAACTGCAATTATTTTTAACATTTAGTTCTGTATCTCCGAAACCGCTGGGCCAACCTTTGCCAAAAAGTTGGCAAATAACCACTTTTCCTCGTCATTACGAACTGAATGTTTTTAGCGGATAGAGATAATGAATTTAAGCCTTTCCATAATTTTAGAAAAAATCAGTTTTTTGGCTGAATTCGCTGTTATAACTGAAAATTTTGTTGTCTAAGTTTAATTATTTTAAAGACATATAATTATAACTTATATAAACTTGATTAAAATCCCTATAATAACGAATAATCATCTTATGTTGGTTTTTAATTTGTTATAAGTAAAGTCTATTTAAAAATGCATTATAAAAATGATTGAAAAATGCAAAAGTTTATGGTTAATTGTAACAATGAAAATATAATAATATAAAAACAATATAATTTTGCAATGTTACTCAAAAATTTTGAGATATTTGCATAAGTTATTAATTTGTATTCATAATACTTTCAGTGAGTTTTAATAATTTTTAGAATTACTTCTCTGATTGGTTAAGATTATTCTACTTCAGAGTTTGAAAAGGATGAATACATTCATATAATATTCGAGCATATTTCAATAATTATTTAATTATCATTTTAATTTCTATATAAAATTTATTTTATATTTCAAATTATTTTAATAGATTGGCATCTGCAGCCGAATTATTACGAGTTCGACATGATATGACAAAAGCTCAAATACTTGGACTATCATCCAGTGCAAGAGAACTACACAGGTAAAATAAAAACCTAGTTGTATATTACATAAATCTTTGCACAAATTGCTTGAACTTCCCAGCATATTGCAAATATATGATGAAAAAATCAATAATAATGTAATATTAAAACATGTATAAAAATAGAATGGAAGTACGTCGTCCAAATGATTGTTTGATATTCCTGTAGTTGATCACTCTAAATTTAGTTAGTCACTCTAACTTAGTTAAAGTCATTTTAATGTAGCTATTTTTAAACCTATAATATAATAATAGAAACATATTATATACGTGTCACAGAAGTCTAGATTATGAATCCAAAAATAAGTAAATATTATTTTTGATGTCCAATGATTTCTTTTCACTTAAAAGATTTCTATCATTTCTATCATTTTGGATTTTATGTGTAATGTTTTGTACCATGTTTTTTCGTAAATTTTTATTTTTCAAATATTAAATGTATATTTTTTTTATTACCAGGCCTTGTTGTACAGAAATAGCTGAGATGGAGACTGTCCTGTGATGTCCTTCGGTGTTAAAATTTGATCTCAGGACAATTCTTTCGAAATGCAGAAACAGTAATTTAAAATTGACGTATGTACTGTTCTGTATGTTTATTTAGTATGTAACTTGATATAATATATAGATATATGTAGATATAAAAATATACTTGCATAAATGGGAATAGTCTAAAGAAATAAGTAATGAATCATATATCTAAATAATATTAATGAAATCACCAAAATACGGTTTTATACTAGCATAGTGTAACTTGTAGAATCAATATAAAGAGGGTTAATTATTAATTTTTGGTTTGAACTCGACAGGTACATGTCAATAGAGTATTGATAAAATTTCATTAATTGTTTTTTAGTTTTCCACACATTTTTGAATCATCCAGGTTTATATGATTCATGAAATAATCAATCATATTTTTTGGGAAAATATTATATTTACTATTTTTTTTAATTGAATTTAGTATTATATATATATATATATATATATATATTTAATTAATTATATATCTTCAATTGATTTATTTTGAGTAAGAATATAAAAAACTTGATATTTTTCTTCGAGAAAATAACTCAAATTATATTCATGCAATTTTTATTTTTGTCGTTTAAAGCATGTTTCAATTTTTAGAAAATTTTTCATAATTTTTTTTGTTTAAATATATTGTTGTATTTTGGATTTTTTATATTTTACTATTATAATTGATAAAATTTAGTTCTTCGAAAAAAGAACTCAAATTTTGCTCATAACATGCAATTTTTATTTTTGTCGTTTAAAGCATGTTTCAATTTTTAGAAAATTTATCATAATTATTTTTGTTTAAAAATATTGTTGTATTTAGGATTTTTTTTATTTTACTATTATATTTGATAAAATTTAGTTCTTCGAAAAAAGAACTCAAATTTTGCTCATAACATGAAATTTTTATTTTTATCGTTTAAAGCATGTTTCAATTTTTAGAAAATTTATCTTTTTTTTATTTAAATATATTGCTTTAGATTTGGATTTTTTGATTTTACTATTATAATTGATATTTTGTTTTTTCGAAAAAAGACCTCAAATTTTGCTCATAATATGCAATTTTTATTTTTGTCGTTTAAATTATGTTTCAATTATTAGAAAATTTATCGTTTTTTTATTAAATATTTTTATGAATTTAGGGAATTAATTTTTTTACTATTATAATTTATAAAAATTAGTAATAACAATATCAACGATGAGAATATTTAAACTCCATTCAGAGAATCAGGGAATTTTTAGCAAACAAATAATTAGTTAAAGCCGTAAATAGTATCGATTATTCATACACAAATTATTAATAACAATATATTCAAGTACAGCAAATCATGAAAATTTAAAATATACATTTTATTCTTTTTTGTAAATATTTTGTACATATACCACGGAATATTATATTAAATTTTAGCGATCATTCGACACATACATCACTCAATTAGTCAACACATTTTTTGAAGTTGGTACTTTCTACAAATCATATGGATTTTTTTTATAAAAAAAATCTATTGACTAATTTATAAATAAAATAATAGCAATTGATGACGATTCGAGTGCAATATGCAAAATTATCTTGCAAAATTCTTTACACAAACAACGATTATTTCGAACAATTGAAGTTTTCATATATTTCCAGCAAAATTATTGATTTATATAGAAGTATCATAATAAATAAATATATTTTAAGCCAAACCAAAAAAGCTTTACAAAGGCTCATAAAACTAATATGTAAATAAATAATATTTTTTGCCATTTCCGTAATTATTAAGTTATTTTAATAACATCAAGAAATTGATGAATGTTTTAGAATTACGCTTTAAAAACGCTTATCGAATAAGCAAAATATAGCCTAAATAACTAGTTCATTTTCATTATAATAAAAATATTTTGATAGTGTAATATAGATGGTTTTTATAATGGTTTCGATTCCGCAAGATAATCACCGCACTTTATAATAATATTTGTGGAATTATTTATAATACAATATATTTTTTTTGAAAAATCTATACATTCCAAAGTATTACTAAATACATGATCCGTTATGAATTTATTAGTAGATAATTGTCATGTAATTGGTTTCATTAGTTATATACTCATGATAAATAATAATCATGATTATTTTGTACATACAAAAAGTTTATCAAGCTCGTGGATAAATTTTTCAAATATAAATATATAAAACTATTTATTACAAGTTATAAATATCAAGTGCATTTGATAGCATCTAATCGAAAAATTTTCGATTTCATCTGAAGATTAATATTCTAAGTTTTATTTGAAGTTCATTAAGGTTTTTACCACCAATATTAATACAAATATTTTAATACTAATATTTTGCCAATAATTCAATGCAAATTATAATAATCATCAAATTCATTTAGTAACGTGGAATAACTAAAAAAATTTCTTTTTTACTGATGGCTAATATTCTAAATTTTTCTTGAAGGTCATTAAGATTTTTGCCACCAATAATTGCTTGAATTATTACGTTTTTGTTCATTAAATTTAAAAAATATTAAAATATTATTCAAAGACTACAAGGTTGATAAAAAAAATCGCATATTCTATTTATTTCATTTTAAAATATATAGTTACAAACTATTTTGGACAAATTATTCACGAGTGGTTAATAATACGCATGGTAAAAAGCTCACATTATTTTTAAGGAAGACAAATATATTTTGTATCTTGATAAATCTAGTAAAAATTATCTAATATTTAAAAAAAAATTTAACATTAATTTAAAAATTACGAGGCTTTTTATGATTATATCAATCTTATATAAATTTTTATCATGAATTTTATAACCTAATATTTTTATTGAACCACATCTTTACATTTTCTAATGCCATGTTTTGGTAATTTATGGTATAAATTTTCTAATTTTTAAAATGATTTTAGCATTTATATAAAAATTACATAGACTTGTAAATTTTTACTATTAATTCTAAAGAGTAACTACTATTTTTCAGAAATCACATCTTTAAATTTTCTATGTTCTTGATAATTTTTTATATAAATCCTATAATTTTAATTTTTTATATATATTTCTCGACAGATTTTATGTGAACTGAATTTTTAACTTAAATTTTAATGACAAACTAATATTTTTAAATACTACTTCTTGAACTATTTTAATAACTTAAGGCTGCTAAATTATTTTGCATAATCCACCAATTTTAAAAATAATTTTTAACATTTATTTTAAAATATCGTGACTTTCTTGTAAAATTATGAAACTGAGCTTTTGTTTCAATTTATGATTTTTTATCAATCTTCGTACTAAATAATGTGAGCTTTTCTCTAAAACCTGTTAAAATTTTTGGTCTTAGGCTAAGTATATAATAAATCACGTAAGTTTTGCTAAAAGCATAAATAAAATACACGCCAAAAATAAAATTTTCTTAACAAAGAAATATAAACCTTTCGATTTAGCAAATGAGGAATACATATACGCTTGTATGCAATTAGTGTTATAAATGTGGATCGAATGATAAATGTATGACGTGGATATAAAATATTAAAATATTAGTCCATGTTTAGAATCATGCAATGTTGATAGCTATATGAAACAAATTATATATATTGAAAATTGTTGTTAATATTTACTGTTGAATATATAGAATAAAAATCGTTGTTGCGCTTTACGCAGAAATTTCATACCCGATTTTAAGTTTTTAGAGAATACGCCAAAGAACATATTCCAATACACTGAACTGCCATTTTCATTAATCTATCAATAATAGATTCATCAATAAATTTTATACAGTAGTAGAAATTTAAGTAATAATAAGCCCAAACGCTAAAAAAATTAGTAATCTATTTTGTGCATTTAAATTTAGTTAACATAGTATGCCTACAGATTTTGTTTTAGTGCATTTATTAGGGGGCAAATTTTCGGATAAAATACGTTTGTTATGATAAACCTATTTTATGGGTCTATATCATAGATTTTATGGACTGCTAGTCGAGCGCAAAAAAGTGTCACAACATGAAAAGCGATTGTGACGTCACCGGGTGAACGAGCGTTGCCGAGAACCGTCGTATACTCTCGATTGCTACGTAAGCTTATAATACATGAACTGCTAGTCCTCAGGTTTTCCATTGTATATAGTGCTCAAACATAGAAGGGTATGTGACGTCACATGTTTGAGCGAACATTGCCGACGACAATCGCGGAAATCTCCCGATCCTCTTGCGCTGGGCTAGCAGTCCTTGTAATATAAGGTTTATGATCCGAATACTCTCTACTCATCACGTAACCATGGTAACTATCATGATATTCAAGCAAAGGAGAGTGTTCGACGGTTCTCGGCAACGTTCGTTCGCCCGGTGACGCTAAACATATGAAGACTTGCAGTCCATGTCTTATAAGGTGTTATCAATGCAACATCTGAAAGTTGCTATTTAATGTTTAGGCATTTTGTAGGTTAGGTTTTTTGTGAAAAACACCTCATTGCTCAGCAAATACATAGCCTTTTAACAGCTTTTACTGCCTATTCATATGAAGATTGGACTGTAACAAAACGTTGCCATAGCAACGCTATGTTGCATTTCTTTTTTATCTGAAAATTGTTCTCTTACATTTATGAAGTTTTAGTTTCTGACATTGTTGTTGATCAGTTGAATTTATTTCTCAACTCAGTTTTATGTAAAATTGTTTGATTCAAATTCATGTAATAATGAATTTTGCTCAAACACTATGTTACTAGAAAATGGAACATATATAGTAATAGATAGATTTGCAAATTTTAAGCTTTTTGTTTAAGAAATATACAAGCAATTATTTTAGTTAGTAATCCTACTCATATCAGTTTGCATCAATTCAATATTTCATCTCCAAAACCATAATTGTATATACAATCATATTGTAAATATACTCGCCAATCTATTTTATTACTAATAACTATAATATATGTCTAAATATATTATACGTACAAGAAACTAATAAACTCGTTACTGTCATAGAAGTAATTGAATAAGAAAAAATATTATATTAATTTATCAAATTGGTATGAAAAATTATTTATTTATTTATTTCTATTAAAGACACACAAGTCTGTAAGTGTGCCAAAATGATAATCTGTTTGATATTCGTATGAAAATGTAAATATTTAATGATAACATTTGTTAATTTGTTTTAAAAATATTCACTTCTGTGATTCATGTTAAATGAATGTATGAAACGTGAAAAAAATCTTGTGAAGAGAATTAATTGTGTTTTATTTGATAGGAAATAGTTATAGATTTAATACTTTTTTTGAAAAAAAAATATAGTCAGCTGTACTTATTTTAATACAACTCCAAAATATTATAAAATTAAGGATATTTTGAATATGTGAAAAATAAAAATAATTTTATTCTAATATTTTCAAAATTATTATTGGAAATTATTAAAATATTTTGTTGAAATTTTCTGGAGTATTTAATAGGAATTTAAAATAAGAGCAAGGTAGATATTTTGTATGGACAATGGAAAATGACAAATTTTGGCAGAATTAAAAAAGCAATAGTTTTAATAAAGTAAATATTCACCATAAATTTACAATAAAATAATAATTCTATAATAAATTCTGCTATTCCATAATGAGAGAACTTTCCATTTGGCTTGAAACCAGATTTGCCATCTAGCAATTTCTGAGAGAATATTGAATGGTTCAAGCCTGAGATATATTGATTTTAAATCAAATAAAATTATATTTGAAAAAAAAAATTAAATCATTAATATTAAAAAAATGTTCATTAATCAATTGATATTCACATTTTTAGAGGAATTTTTTAAAAGTCAAGTTAAACCAAAATTTAGGAATTTATTTTTCTGGACTTGCAAAAATCTATTTTGCATTTTATGTTGCAACACTAATGAAAGGTTATTTCATATATCATAGTTATTATTATTATATAAAATGCGTGCAAGTACTTTTTAAATTTTATTACAAAATTTTACAGGTTTGTTAAATGTAGAGTTACAAATTCTTAGTACTATTAATACCTGCTACTATATTTTATATTATTCACGGGTAATATTCGTATTGTAGCTTAAATTTTGTAACAAGTTAATATTTTGTTTGTACTTTAACTCAATGCTATTTATACAGGTTACAATATTATATATTAACCCATCTGAGTATTGGAAAAAAATTAATACTGCTTATTATAATTTGTGATAAAGCACAAAATTCTTAATTTGTCACTGTATTTTTACATATGCTTAAATTATAATTTAATATTATTTTTAGCATTTGTTGGTAACTTTTAATTGTATTCTACTGATATAGATTTCTATGTAATAATATTGGGAGGTTTAATGGTTTTTTTACAATTCATGTGTGGTATTTTGAGAATCAAGAAAGCTTTTCTCTAATATTTTATACCTCTAAACTGAATTGATTAACTCTATTTTTTCTTAATATTTATAACCTCCTGCTCCTCCGCCGCTGGGTGCGAGGTATTGATTGCTTGGACCGCGCGAAGTACCAGGAAAACCGGTACCACCTCTGCCTCCGCCAAATCCACCAGATCCTCCAAAACCACCTGCGCCACCACGTCCTCCACCAAATCCACCAGAACCTCCCGCGCCTCCAAATCCACCAGAACCTCCTGTGCCTCCAAATCCGCCAGATCCACCACGACCGCCACCAAATCCTCCAGAACCACCAGTTCCTCCAAATCCTCCTGATCCACTACCACCATATCCTCCAGCACCACCTGCACCGCCACGACCGGCTCCACCAAAGCCTCCTGAACCACCAAAACCACCGCCTCCGCCTCCTCGTCCAAAACCTCCTGCGCCGCCGGCTCCACCGAAACCACCTGCTCCTCCTGAGCCTCCGTAACCACCACTTCCACTTGTACCTAAGTAAATGAAACAATTAATATGGAATGGAAATAACATGTATAAAATGGTAAACTTATAAATATAGGTTTTAGGTTTATTTAGGTTTAAACAAAAATGAACAATTACCAGAGTAACCACCGCCGCCGCCTCCGGAGTATCCACCAGCACCGCCGCCTCCTCTGTAACTGCCATCATCATCACCTGTAATAAAAAATATTAAATTTCAATATTAACTACTTATTCTAGAAGTTGTTGCTGGTGACAATTTTTTTACCTTCTCCTGGATGAGCGGCGTTGTATTCCAAGGATCTTAGGATTGCTTCTGGGATTGGTGGTGGTGTAGGCAAATGATCACCTTGTGGCACAAATCCATTTTCGTCAGCAGTGTAACTTAGAGATATTTGTTGACCCTCCGGTGAAGTATATTGGAATGAACCTAACAAAAATGTGTTGAATAAAAAGGTATTACTGATTTTATAAATTAAATATTACTTACCAACAGCTTCTTGAGATCCGCGATTTTGTCCTTGTTCTTGAGCTCTAATGCCGTTAGCCGTTTCGTAACTGAAATGTATATATTATTGCAATATTAATTAAATTATATTATTATTTTTGAAATAATAATAAATTTGTATATTCAATTGATTTATCAATTTCCTTAATCAATTAATCTATTATGTTACAAACCTGTAAGAATAACTTCCATCGCCCTGATTAGGTTGGTTATCGTATCTCAGAATTTCAATTTGAGGTCCACCACGGTTACCACTATAACCACCGCCGAAACCACCAGATCCACCAAAACCACCTCCAGCTCCGGCGCCGCCATATCCGCCACCACCACCAGTACCTCCAAATCCGCCACCTGCACCTGATCCCCCAAATCCACCACCTGCGCCTGATCCACCAAATCCACCACCTGCACCTGATCCTCCATATCCACCAGCGCCTCCGAATCCACCTGAACCACCGGTGCCACCAAATCCACCTCCTGCGCCGGAACCTAAAAATGTTAATTGAATTTTGTATGGGTATAGTACAAGTATTCGAAAAATTATAAACACTGATATTTATTACAAATCGTAATTGTGAAAAATATAGATATAGAAGTAGTATACCACCAAATCCTCCAGCGCCGCCACCGCTACCTCCATAACCACCAGCTCCTCCTGCGCCACCTCTTCCTCCTCCAAAACCAGCACCACTTGCACCACCTCTACCGCCTCCAAAACCACCTAAATATAATTAAAAGATAAAATTATTCATGTTACAATTTTACAATCAACTTACTTTTTATTATCATTTAGTTTCTAGTTTCATCTAGAATTCTTGCTACTTGTGTAGATAGTTATACATTTACCTGCACCTCCAAATCCGCCAGAGCCTCCAAATCCTCCAGAACCACCAAATCCGCCAGAGCCTCCTCTACCTCCAAAACCTCCTCCAGTACCACCAAATCCTCCACCAGTTTTAGATCCAAAACCTGGAAAACATTATATGAATTATATGAATTCATTATATGAACGATGGACAAAAATGAGAAACAATCGTAAATTATACAATATTTTATTACAAAATTTGCAAATTAAATTGAACATTTTGAGGCATTCATTTTTATGATTTATATAATTTTTTTCTTTAATTATGAAATAATTCTCACCTCCTCCGAATGAAGGAGTTCCAAGGCCTGCTCCGCCGCCTGCTTGGCTTGCTCCAGCTGGAGGTAGGTAGGTGTTGTCCAGTCGAGCACATGTGCTCACTGATACCAGCATTAACAGTGCGAGTATCTGAAAAGATTTATAAAGTAGAATAATTTATTTTCTTATAAATCGATATCTAATGATTTTAAAGTAAACTGAAGAAGAACCGAGCTTTGAGCATATTTTGAAATATGTTGTAGTGCATTGTGAATGTCATATGTATTTTGCCGCCGGAGCGGAGGCATCCGAGTGGCAAGGGTTAAAAGATATATTAGTTACAAACTATTCCAGTAAAACATTAATGATAAAAGTAATACTAGTAGTACAGAATAAATAAACTAGTAGTATCCAAAAAATCAGCATCAAAAAGTCTGAATTTTGAATCAGAAAATGCGAGCTCATTCTCCCTTGATATACGCTCTACTATATTTCTACCATTTATTTCAAAATTTTTAAGCAAATTTATTATAGTAGCTAATTCATTCACACACTTCGAATTCAAGATTTATGTGAATTACAAACAAAATTTTGCATATATGTTTATTTTTTATCACGATCTTTCTCGTTCTTGATACAATTTTGCGTCTTACGCAATACAAGAGAAGAACACGAAGGCAAACACAATAACTGGCTTTGCTCATCTCTCATCACATCTCATCCAAGATTGGAATGCAGTATGTGATATGAAAAGAAAGTCATTTGCAAGAGCTTATTTGAATTTAAATTGATGGTTGTTGTCGGTTCATCAGAAATAAACATGAGTTCCAGAAATATTGCTTATTGCTTATTATCAAATATTGATAATGCCAAGTTGTAGGTAAATATTGAATACGTTTATTTATATGTATATATATATATATAAATATATATATATATATATATACATATATATATAGGGTATCCCAGAATTCAACGTCAAGCCAAAACGGACCGATTGTGTGTTGTCCAGCTTCATCAAAAGTTGGCGCAATCAATCAGGTAAACTATTGATAGTTTATTAAATATGATAAATAATTAAGATAGTTAAATAAAAAACGGTGAACTATTTCACAGTTTAATAAACCTAAAAATGTCATGATTTTATCTAATGCATTTTACTCACAATCAGTTCAAATATTTGTTATAAGAGCAAAGTCAATGTGCGTGAAAGATACATTTGAACTGAATGTGAGTGAAATGAGTTAACTGTTATCGTGTTATTTTTAAGTTTTTTATTTTTTTTCGAAAATTTTTAATAATAAAATTAATAAGTATTTTACTATTTTACAATACTAATTAAATGCGCCAACTTTTGATGAAAATTGCCATCACGCTTTAGTGCATCTTTTATAAAGAAGAGCCAGAAATTTAAGCCAGAGATTTTAAAAGTTTTAACTTTATGATTCAAAAATAAATTATTGGTCACAAGCCTTAATTCTTAAAATAAAAAGTCTTAATTCTTAATTCATAATTTTCAACTGTGGTCAAGTATCAAACATTTTTTGGTGAAAAAAAATAACCTAAAGTAAATATATTTTACTTATAAATAATTACATAACTATAAATTTTACATTTTAAATTATAAATTTTACAACGGAATGTCTATACTCAATATTATTTAAGAAAATAATTATAGTTTATGCATTAAATAATAAACAAGACACTGTAAATTTGAGTTAATTTAACCTAAAGTAAATATATTTTACTTATGAATAATTACATAACTATAAATTTTACATGTTACTCAATATTATTTAATGAAAATTATAGTTTTATGCATGACATAATAAATAAGACTGTAGTTAATGCCAATAAAATATTTTAAATATATCTGTAAATAAAATTTTTTGTACTTAGAGTTTTTAGTTCATTAGTTTTCTGTGAAAAAATTTAATATAGTGGTAACTTCCAATTTCTTCAAATAACATACTAAATATGTACAACGACTATTAAATGTTGTGCACCTCTGGATATTAAATAGTCACTTCTACCAACTATCAATTGTATATTCTACCAACAACAGAAATCATTAAAATTATATTAAATCCTATGTAATAATATTAAACTTGGTGAGAGTGAGGTTATGTGGTTTGTATTTATTTTTAGTGAAAATAATGGGAAAATGGAAGTGTCAAAGCACGTGTTTTTGAATAAATGAACTTAATTAATTTATTATTTTAATTATTAATTAATTATTTTAAAGCGTTATTAATTTTCAATAAACTTACTAATATTTATGTGTGGAACATATTGTGTAAATACGAAAAACTAATGTGAGGTTTGGTAGTTCTATTGGAATTTAGGTAAGTCATATTTTACTTTATTGTCTTGGATTTTATGACATTTGTATATTATAGAAATTTTTTTCACACTGTTTAAGAGGCAAGCATTAAATAATAAGGATTCGATATAGTTATATCAAGGTTTCTTAACATTTCAAGTACCACCGTCAAAAACATCGACACAATTGTCCCAAGCTTTCTAGAATTAGGACTTTTTGCTAAACTAAATTTTAAAATATTTAAAATTTATCGATATTTTAATGCACTTGGTTAAAAAATATATTGAAGTGCCTTGGCAAGTGTCATTAATTTTGATTATGAAATTTGTTACACAACACTTGTTAAAAAAATAGTATTAATTGTGCCATTATTTGTGAAAATGGTTTTAGAAATGGTATTTAAGTTATGGTTTAAAAATTTGAATTAATAAAAATAATAAAAATTAACCACATAGAACTTAATAAAAATACACAAAAAAGAGTTGCAGTTTGACTGAAACTCTAGACTTTACTTAAATGCACATAATTCTCAAACTGATGGGAAAGGTTATTTTCTAACTTTTCATGAGTTCACTTTAATTCGGTTTGACGTAGCTTTCTGGGACACCCTGTATATATATATATATATATATATATATATATATATATATATATCCGCTGGGTACAAAATGTAAGAAAATGCTCATTTATTAATAATAAGTTGCATTTTATATTGAGTATCTTTATGATCCATAGAATCACCATTCACAAGTACCTTGATAAAACATAATACAATTTACAATCCCAATTATAATCCATATTTCCCATTAATGGCTATGAGTCCTCATTTGTGTATCAATCTACTACCTTACAATTAAAACAATTAATAACATTTGCCATGATTGTTACATTGGATATTGAATTGGATTTGATCAACTGCAAATACTATCAATTCTAACTTGAAAGTACAATCGTTTTGATATTCTAAAGAAGTTATCCTGTCAACTTGTTCTTTATGGAATCCCACCTGAGGCAAATTAATTTCACACAATACAGTTCTAATAATTAATTACATAAAAGACAAAGCAAATATACCATCACGAATCCGAAAGGATGATTATGCAATATGATGATGTGAAGATCATTTGCTATTACTCTAAATGGTAATGTCATGGCGCCTTTAAGGGATTTATATATACAATATTAATTATTTGTAATGGATAGAAATTATGATGGGTTCTTTATTTTAAAGTCACTATAATGTTAAAGATTTTAATACTAGACTACATTGTAAAAATGTAACCTTAAATGTAGAAGTTGGTATTTTTCTAATACTTGCATATTGGTTTAGCTCATCTGATTGTTGCAAATTCCATTACCATTTTATAAGGTTATTATAGAAATCTATCAAATTGATTTTTGGTCAAGTACACAGAAAGGAATTCTGCCAGTTCAAACAATGGGAAACAAAATAACAAATCTTCCGAACAATTTTATTGCCAAGGGTATAATGTGTCATCATACCAACGGTCTAAATGCAGGCGCACCCAGATTTCCTGAAAGTGATCAGGTGTGGTTTAAACTGTCAGAATCGATGTCGAAACTGACAGAAATGAGTGTAAAATGAATATCAAATTGCATTGAAGAAGTGTTGCTTAAGATACAAATACAGTGTATAAAAATAAGTGTATAATTGATATCTTTTGCATCTAACACTATAATGACATCGCGGTTTTTCATAAGAGCTAATCTTTGCCCATCTTTGGTTGCTTTAACACCATTAGCATAGTTGATTATGTTTTATGATACAGGCGAAGGTTATGGAAATAGATTACAAGTTGATATTTTTATCTGATTTCATAAACTTGTGTTTGAAAATTGGATAATTCTATCATTTTTGTACAAATTGAACAGCGATGAGTTGTGTCAATTTACATAACTACATTAGTTTTAATAGAACCCAACCCAAAGGTTTGTCCCATCCCTGTGTGATGAATTGTAGGTATTATATTTTTTGATGAAGCAAGGCTAGGAAATAGCTTTGCAATTGGAAACAATTACTATATATTTTTCAACTATAAACTTCTGTCAATACTGCTTGACATCAAGCTATTCAAGACAGATATTAAACCCAGGACTTCTGTTTTAAATTCCATAGCTCTAACTTATTATTTTTTACTATAATTTAAATATATTTTATATGCTTGATACACTTTATTTGTGGACATGAATATATACTAGAAATTAGATTTTTCCAAAAATTTGCAAATACTTGCATAGGCAAATATCCGAAAGGCATTTTATATCAATTCAGCAAAAATACAGAAGAAAAGTTTAAAATACAATAAATGGCTTAATTGTGGTTATCAAAAGCTATTTACTTATCAGATTCAATCATTCAATCATTTTGGTTGTGATATCAAACAACAGTGACATCAGTTTCTATTCGAAAATAAAAGTAAGTATGATTTTAAGTAAAAAGAGCTTGGCAAAAATATATATCTATCACATCACTTTTAGAAATATCTAATCTTATCACAAAGAATTCTCTTAGTCTCATCAGGAAGAGGGAGGACAACCACTGAGTTGCCGTCTAATAATTCTAGGTTGTGGGGAAATATATCACAACAACTCAGAAAACATGATAGAATAGTTCTATCGTAGTAGTGATATCAATTTTTACTCGAGTTTTTTTACTTATTCATTTTATTCTGCCATTTGTTTATATTACAAGTAGAACTTGCTGACAAATATATGATCAAATCATGCTGATTACAAATTAGCAGATAGACTCAGTGGTGTATCTACTAGAGCTATTCAGGATATCATTACAAAAATAATAAAAACCAAAAAAATCAATAAAATATAGCAAAATGAAAGTGATAAAGTTAATGATATTATTTCAGGTCTCCAGATAATTTTCATTTTAATCTGGTCGACTGACCTTAGGATGGACGTACATTCTGTCAATCCTATTTGGAGGCAACCACTGCCTTTTCTATTTCTTCTTAGAGGCACAGTAATGTTACAATTTACTTCTAAATATAGATCAAAAATTTTTATTTTGAAATTGGCAATGGGAAGTCTCCCACGCTATTTTTCCCTAATTTGAGTTTGATTTAACTCAGCTCATGGACCACTAGAACAGAACTTCTATTATTATTATAGTATCACGAAAAACATAAGTGATTGTGTCCAAGCGCAATAAAATATAATTAAAAACAATTAGCTACAGGATATTAATTTTCATCATCTTACTTTTATTATCTAATTTACCAAACATTATTTCGAAATCATTAAATTCAACCAACAATTATAAATGTTTTCAGTTATTAAGTTGTCAAATTCATAATTACATTGGATGGCAAATATTACAAGTATTTACAACTGGCCATCACTAAAGGATTTATTACCCGCGATAATCATTTTAATGGGAGCTATCCGTCTTGTGAAATTTTTACTCTGCAAACATTGATTATGCATTTCGTTGCACAATCGCTTTTAAATACTAACAAAAGCACATCGCACAGTACTTGTGTGTTTTCATTTTATTATTATTATGATCCTGCAGCAATATTACGAATATTACTACATCATTTAAACAATGAGATTATTCACGCTGAGATTTTCTCACGGATAATAATATACAATGAATAACTTTACTAGTCGTTAACTTATTTGTATAAGGCGAGCGCTTCTTTGGCCAGATTCTTTTTTGTTGGGCGATTTTTGCATGAAATATATGCAGAGGATAGTATTTATTTGGCGATTGTAAATTTTGAATTGCAGATTTACCATATAATTTATTACTATCTATCAAAATGATTTCGGTCTAGTACACAGAAAGGAATACTGTCCTTAGTGGACATCCAGCAAATATAATAAACTTGCTAAAATAGTCATAGCATAGAAAATCTTTGCTATTCGTAGATTTGGAATTATAGCTTATGTGGGAAAAAATTAAGGGATGAGTATGTTTCTTATTAGGCCATATTATTACCAACTATTCTTAGTGGACATCTACCAAATGTAATAAATAAATGACAATTAGTATGAATTATCAGTATCTCTTCCACCTCAAATACAAATTACTTAAAAGTGAAAATTATGTTTTTTCTACGTAGCAAGGTTGTGGTGACATTGTTCTTTCAAGTGTTTTTGGAAAGTTGAAAGCCAAATGTTTTTGGAATAAATCTTTAGTTTTTTGGGTTGCAAACCTTATTATTTCTTCTCGTACACAGAGCATGTTGATGTCATGATGAATTTACCAGTTTGGGATTTATTTAGACAATGACTGATTGAAAGAATAACTGTCCTCAAGTCTTCTTCAAGTTGTCTTGTAGTAGGAAATTTCTAATTTACTTTTTGTCAAGTGTAAACCCAAGTGTGGATTAAGAAATATAGATTAATAGGGTCACTAAATCAAAAAGTGTTTTTATTGGTATCTATATTTCTTCAATTTGTTTGACAATATAGTCAAAAATTCAAGAAATTACACTGCCCGATTATTGTATTTTTGACATTATTATTAATTTGAACATAAAACTATTGCATGATATCAGGTTGTTCAGAGTGAGAGACTTAACCCAGACTGACATGAGGCACTGCACTCAACCATTACGCCATGAAACAGTTAAATATGACTTTCCAAAATCTTGAAAAAATAATGTAATTAGGGAAAGTTGAAGGAATTTATACAACTGCAATTTTATATATCATTTTTTTTAAATTGATATTAATCCTGAGACTAATTTATTTGGATGGTAGAAAAATGAAAAATTTAATCTGTAAGTGATACTAAGAATAGTATCTAAATTTAAGCTTTCTATTTAAATTTGCATATTTATCGTACATATAGTGGTGTATTAATTAAATTATGTGTTTTCTGTTCATTTTATTATCTATTAATCCCATATTAAACTGAGCACTTATAGTTACTACCTAATAATTAAAATGTTTGATTAATTAAGAAGTTGATCAGCCTACATGTTATTTGGAGTTTTGTTTCATTTTTGAAACATAAACTGTTAAATTAATATAAAGATACAAAGACTTTACATTCAGAATCAATAAAAAATATTTCATTCTTTTCATATAAAAAATATTCAGAATCAATAAAAAATATTTCACACACAATTTTCATTTCATTGTGATTGATTTTTATTGATACACATTTTTTTTATTTCAATAATGAAAAATAAGATTTCTCAAGGCTCTATGTTGTTAAATAAAATATTTGATGTTTTATTAATTTTTTCAAAATCTTTATAAATATGATCACTTAAATTAATGCCAAATCAAAGAAGTAGTGTTTACTAATCAGTTGGATAAAATTCAGTTTTTGTACCAAATTTATTTATACTAAACGTTGCAATTTAACATACATTTCTATTTAAATTATTATTAGCCATTAAATATCATTTACGTTTGTAATTACTTGTTTAGTATCAAGTATAAATCTACAAAACTAACCACGCTTTTAAATATTATAACTAGATATATTGGTTATATTACCACAAATGATGAAATTCTAATTAAAAAGTGATTTAAGATCCTGGAAATAATTCCAGTTTTCAAAAATAATATATCGCAGAGCCATGTGCGGTTTTATTGCACAATTGAGGAACGTCAGATAATTTATTACAGATGGAACATAATTATATTTGAGAAACACAATTATGAAGAAGTAATTACAGAATATTGAAAATTAATTATTAGAATGAAAACCATCAAAAATTATGATTAATTTTAAATGATATTGGGTTTGTGTGTTAAACAAACCACTAATTCTGTTACATAATTGTGGTTTTTGTACTTCTCTTTTGGGGAAGTATAAATAAATCTTATAATATTTTTCTTATAACGCATAAATATTACCATACTATTGGACCGATTCTGCCGCATAACAGACCAATGTTACGGCAAGTCTATGTTTTGAAGAACTTTCCTTACAAATTCGTTCTGAATATTAACAAAAGCCATGTGATTGCTGTGCAGTTAGACGTTTTTACCAGGTTGTCAGATAGAAAACTTAACCTAGAAACCGCACAAATGTCAATAAAAGGATCTTAGATAAGAGGATCTTTCTGACCCAGCTTCATAACACACGAGTGACGTTGCAGTTTATGCGTAAAAACCTGAATGCACTGCAAATAACTACATGACGTTTTGAC